CCTGCAGCAGGGAGGCTGACATTTAAGCATGTCCCTCAGGGCTTGGAGATGAGCGGAAAGAGCCCAACTCTAATAAGATGAAGTAAATAGAAGGGAATTCCACGGCTCACAGAACTGGGGAACGCACAGAACTGGGAACGCGCAGAACTGGGAACGCAGGCCTCCAGGTGTGGCTGGTCAAGGGTACCATTGAGGTCTCCTCTCTGGGTCCCTCTCTTTCTGGGGATGGATTTCCTCCTTGCTGCTGGGCACAGGGGCCACCAGATGTTCTAAATGCCCATCCTCCCAGCATTGTGACCCAAAGGGTGAGAGCGATCATTCTCTCTGGGAGAAAGTTCCGGGAAAGACGGAGTCATGTGCCCCAGCTGCTCGGCATGGCCTGGGGGTCAGCTGGTCTCGTGCTCTGGAGGGGTCGGCTCCATGACTGGCAGCTCGGCTCCGGCCACAGTGCACCAGGAATGCTGGGGCAGGTGATGGGCTGGCGTGCTTTGTGCAGCCACTGGTCCAGGCAGTGCATCAGAGAGAGGCTTGGGCCTGCAGTGGGGGCAGTGGGAAGAGAGCTTGGTAAAGGACTTCCAGACGCATTTAGAAGGTCAAATAGGCAGGATTTGGTGATTGACCAGATGTAGAAAGAAGGTGGGGTTACGAAATGCTTTCCAGGGCCAGGTGCGGTGGCTCACGCTTGTAATCCCAACACTTTGGGAGGCCGAGGTGGGAGGATCACCTGAGGTCAGGAGTTCGAGACCAGCCTGGCCAACATAGTGAAACCCCGTCTCCACTGAAAATACAAAAATTAGCTGGGCATGGTGGTGTGCACCTGTAATCCCAGCTATTCTGGAGGTTTGAGGCAGGAGAATTGCTTGAGGTTTCAGTGAGCCGAGATTGTGCCACTGCACTCCAGGCGGGGCAACACAGAGAGACTCCGTCTCAAAAAAAAGGAGAGAGAGAGAGAGAGAGGGAGAGAGAGAGAGAGAGAAAGAAAAAGAAAGAAAGAAAAAGGTAGGAAGGAAGGAAGGAAAGAAAGAAATGATTTCCAGAGTTCTGCTTTGGTCAGCTGGTTAGATAGTTGGTGTCATTCGCTGTGGTAGGAGACTGAGTAAGGGAAGCAGTTCCTGCAGGACGTCTGGAGTTATTGGCATCCAAAGAGACACATTTAGGGATCATCCATGGGGGTGGTTATTTGAGGTAAGGTCACGTGTGAGCTCCCCTGGGGGGCAGAGTGAGAGGGCCAGAGGCCTCGAAGTGAACCTCAAGGAGCCCCACAGCTGTGGGCTGGGTCAATGGGGGCTGAGACAGAGAAGTCAAGGAGGCAGGAGGAGAAGCGGGGGGCTGGGGAGCCCCGGGGAGAAAGCTTCAAGGGGGAGAAGGTGGGCAGCTGTGTCTCAGGTGCCGCAGCACAGCAGGCTTGGCTGGACCTTGGCTGAGTCTGCAGCTTGGTGCTGTCTGCCTTCCCCGGCTCCCAGCAAAACTTGCAGCTCCTTTACCCACCACACCGGCCTGACACTGGGTCTCCCTCGTGGACCCCACGCGCTGGGCCGTCACTGGACTTAGGTTGCCCTGGCTGGTCATGCAGAGCTTGCTGTGCCCCGCCTGGACACCCCCAGAGGAGGCGAGCAGCGGGCATCGGACCTCTCCCACACCCTTTCGTCTTCCCACGAGTCTGACCACACAGTGTGGACTGCCCACTCGTGAGCCCCTGGGGGAAGGGCTAACGTTATCCGCACTTTGCATGTGGGGAAAATGAGGTCAGGAGCTGAGGATGAGAAGAGCTAAGATGGGTCTCCAGGAAGGCAGGTTCCCACGCACGGGTCAGCTCCCCGCTCCTGCTTCCTGCACAATGCATGGGACCCCTCCGTAGGCCTGAGGCCCACCCAGTGGGGGAAATGCCGATGGTGAAGGAGGGAGGGACTTCTTGGTGCCCAAGAATGCGACCAGCCTCCCAGGGTGGGGTGTCTGCATGGGGACAGGCCTGGGGTCCCGGGCAGGCCAGAAAGAAGGAGCCACTGTGGGCCCAGCTGGCAGACCATAGCCTGGGAGGTGTGGGCAGCGGGGCGGCGGGGGCGATGGCTGCGAGGGCGGGCGAGGACTGGGTGCCGCCAAAGAGCGATAATGATGGCTCGAGTCAAAGCCGGCCTGCGTCTCGCCCGCGCTGGCGTCTCCAGCAGCACCGTGCCAATTAAAGATGAGTTGAGCATATCGTTAGTTTCCAAATCGTCAAGAATCTCATTAGGGGAGTCTTAGAGCCACCCGAGCAGCTCTGCTGACTGTCCACACTGGAGGTGCCGGGCTGCGGGGGGCTGGGGGGGGGTTGCTGCGTGTTGATGAGCTGTAGCGGGGTTTTTGCCAGGCAGGGCGCTGGATAGAACCAGCCCAGCAGTGCCCAGGGCCTCGGTGGTCCTCAGCCTGTGTCTGCCTCCTCCGGTGGGGTGATGGGGTAGACTGTTCAGAAATCTACTGGGAGTCAGTTCGGATGCCACATTTCCACCAGACTCGGCCGAGGGGCCATCTCCTCTACCCCATCGTTTTATAATGGGAGAAACAGAGGTCCGCAGGGGCGGGGGAGCCCCTGGGATACACGGGGCTTGAGGAGACCCCTAGAGGGGTCTAATCCAACCCTAAAGCAGATCTGAGTCCCGTCTCTGTTGTCTCAGCTGAGTGACCATTTCGCTTGTGCCATTTATTCATTTATTTTTATTTATTTAGAGAATGAGTCTTGCTCTGTCGCCTAGGCTGGAGTGCAGTGACGCGATCTCGGCTCACTGCAACCTCTGCCTCCCGGGTTCGAGCAATTCTCCTGCCTCAGCCTCCCGAGTACCCCAAGTATCTGGAATTGCAGGCATCCACTACCATGCCCAGCTAATTTTTATATTTTTAGTAGAGATGGGGTTTTGCCGTATTGGCCAGGCTGGTCTCAAACTCCTGACCTCAAGTGATCCACCTACCTCAGCCTCCCATTACAGGTGTGAGCCACCGCGCCCTGCTGCACCCCATTTATAGTAAAGAGGCCCCGCCCTTCCCGTGGCCCCTTGTTCCGTCCGTGCCCATCAGGGTCGTTTATTAATGAGTCAGAGACCTGGCTCAAATTTGCTGAGGCAAGAAAGGAATTTCTTGGAAGTCAGGACTCTGGTTTTGCACACAGAAGGGAGGCTTAGAGATCCCAGGACATCTCTAGCCTCATCCCTGCTGCTCTCAGCACATCTACCTCTGGTCGGGCAGCCTCTTCCCCCTGGGGGGTGGGGATGGGGTTACTGGGGGACAGAGAGCTCCAGAGCCACATGCCATGCCATCTGCCACCAGGCGGGATCTGCACGTCTTCCTTCAGCCTCAGCTGGGAAAATCCCATGGAGGGACTGTGCATGGCCTGGCTTGGCCGGGTGTTCACGCTGAGTCCACACGGCAGCTTCCGTTAGAACTGCGTGGCTGGGGTTTATTCATTCATCTCATGTTCACTAAGACTGGGCTGTGTGTCAGCCATTGTTCTGTATCTAGCTGGGAGAGGCAGACCATCAACAAAGGAACCAGTAATAAAGATAATTCAGATAGTGATAGGTGTTCTAAAGATGACGAGCAGGTACACCTGTAATCCTAGCACTTTGGGAGGCTGAGGCAGGCAGACCATGAGGTCAAGAGTTCGAGACTAGCCTGGCCAACATGGTGAAACCTCATCTGTATTAGCCGGGCGTGGTGGTGGCTGCCTGTAATCCCAGCTACTCGGGAGGATGAGGCAGGAGAATCGCTTGAATCCAGGAGGCGGAGGTTGCAGTGAGCCGAGATGGCGCACCTGCACTCCAGCCTGAGCAACAGAGCAAGACTCTGTCTCCAAAAAAATAAATAAATAAAAAACAAGAAAAGATGACGAGCAGAGTGCTGCGAGGGACGATGTTAGCTAGGACGGTCAGTGAGGCCACGGGTAGTTATGGAGGAAGGACACTCCGGGCAGAGGGAACAGTGCAAAGGCCCTGTTGAGGAACAGGTTTAGTGTGGATCAGAAAGGTGGCCCGTGTGGGCCGGGCGCAGCAGCTCACGCCTTTAATCCCAGTACTCTGGGAGGCCAAGGCAGTGGATTGCCTGAGCTCAGGAGTTCGACACCAGCCTGGGCTACGTAGTGAAACCCCATCTCTAACTAAAATACAAAACATTAGCCGGGCTTGGTGACACACGCCTGCAGTCCCAGCTACTCGGGAGGCTGAGGCACGAGAATCGCTTGAATTTGGGAGGCAGATTCTGCAGTGAGCTGAGATTGGGCCACTGCACTCCAGCCTGAGCCACAGAGCAGCAAAACTCTGTCTCCAAAAAAAAAAAAAAAAAAAAAACAGAAAAGAAAAAAGAAAAAGAAAAGAAAGAAAGCTGGCCCATGTGGCTGTTGGTGCATGATAAATTTGAAGCCGTCCCTATAAACTTTGTGTGTGTGTGTGACAGGGTCTTGCTTTGTCACCCAATGTGGAGTGCAGTGGCATGATTGTAGCTCACTGCAGCCTCAACCTCTTGGGCTGAAGTGATCCTCCTGCCTCAGCCTCCTGAGTAGCTGGGACAACAGGTGCACGACACCACACCCCGCTAATTTATTTTCTTTTTTTGTAGAGATTTGGGGGGGGTCTCACAGTTGCCCAGGCTGCTCTTGAACTCCTGGGCTCAAGCAATCCTCCTTCCTTGGCCTCCCAAAGTGCTGAGATTACAGGCATGAGCCACTGTGCTGGGCCATCCTATAAACTTTATAAAATTACTCAGAGGCCAGGTACGGTGGCTCATGCCTGTAATCCCAGCACTTTGGGAGGCCAAGGTGGGTGGATCACTTGAGGTCAGGAGTTCTAGACCAGCCTGTCTAACATGGTGAAACCCCATCTCTACTAAAAATGCAAAATTAGCTGTGTGTGGTGGTGGGTGCCTGTAGTCCCAGCTACTAGGGAGGATGAGGCAAGGAGAATCGCTTGAACCCGGGAAGCAGAGGTTGCAGTGAGCTGAGATCGGGCCATTGCACTCCAGCCTGGGCAACAAGAGCGAAACTCTGTCTCAAAATAATAATAATAATAAATAAAATAAATCAGGGAAGAAGAGGGGGAGAAACAAAAATACACCAAGCTTGTGGCAAATTCAGTGTTCATCACTGGGTCCGCTTGCTGTCGGATTCACTTCCTCATAGCTGTTTGGTGCCTATTGTCCTAATCATGTAGAATCTAGATTGTAGCTCCTTTTAGCTACCCTACAGATAACAGCTTGACCATCACCAAATGTTTTCTCTCTGAGATATTCCTTCAGGGTCTGGTCACCAATGAAACAACTGATGCTAGCTGATGCAAAGGACCTCATGAGGAACTGACTCACGAAAGAATGCCGTTTCCACACTCCCCTCACCTCAACCCATCAACGACCCCAGGTATCCAGCCCCTCACCCCCCATGATCCCCTTAAAAACCCCAGTCCAGGGCTACGCGCCGTGGCTCATGCCTGTAATCCCAGCACTTTGGGAGGCCGAGGTGGGTGGATCATCTGAGGTCAGGAGTTGCCAACATGGCGAAACCCCCATCTCTGTTAAAAATACAAAAATCAGCGAGGCATGGTGGCTCGCGCCTGTAATCCCGGCTATTCGGAAGGCTGAGGCAGGAGAATCGCTTGAGTCTGGGAGGCAGAGGTTGCAGTGAGCCGAGATCGAGCTTCTGCACTCCAGGCTGAGTGACATAGCGCCTCGTGAGTGGCGGGCATGATAACAAACTCCAGAGGGTCGCAGGCAGGTTCGAGTTGTCATTGCCGGGATTGTTCTGTTGTGCCAGGAAGCTCTCTGAGACTGGGACCCGGCCACTGCCTGGTCTGCTGGTGCGATGGCATTTCTCCGAAGCATGTGGGGCATGTTGAGCGCCCTGGGAAGGTCCGGGCGGAGCTGCGTACCAGCTGTGGAAGTCGACTGCGCTTCCCCTTCAGTTTTGTGTATTTATGGAAATGGTTTTCATCTGCCTTGGCAAGTTATCCAAAGAAATGTGTAACTTCTTACCTTCGATTTTCTGAAGAACAACTACCCATATTTAAAGCTCAGAACCCAGATGCAAAAAATACAGAACTAATTAGAAGAATCACCGGGCATTGGAGGGAACTTCCCAACTCAGAGAAAAAAATATATGAAGATGCTTATAGGGTCGACTGGCAGGCATACAAAGAAGAGATAAGCAGAATTCAAGAACAGCTAACTCCAAGTCAGATTATGTCTTTGGAAACAGAAATCATGCATGAACAGTTAAAAAGGAAAGCCTTAGTAAAAAAGAGAGAGAGTTAAAACTGCTTGGAAAACCAAACTGACCTTGTTCAGCTTATACCATTTATGTAGCTGAAAGCCTCCAAGAAGCTAAGGATGGTTCACCACAGGCAAAGCCGAAGACTGTAAATGAAAACGGGAAAAATCTGTCTGGTTCTCAAAAGAAAGTATATATTCAACTTGCTAAAGATTATAAAATTCATTATTATAATGAAACGAAGTCTGGGGAAGAGCAGATGATTGAAGTTGGATGAAAGGATCTTCTATGTTGCAAAATAAAGCAACCACCAAAAGATGGTACTGAGACGTGTTAGAGTTCATAGTGGATAGGCACCAAAAACCAGTTAGGTCTCAACACCTGAAGCTGTTGTAAAATTAGAAAGGATAACGTCGGTAAACCTTTTATATTCAATTTCTTTTTCTTCAGCTCATGGACTTCTGCCAGTGTAATACTTGCTTTGGAAAACCCAGATAAAGGTTTATGCAAAATTTTGTGTTTAGGAACCACTGAGGATCAGAGTAATCCATGCAAATGTGAATCATTTTACCTTTGATAAAGGTAAATCAGACTATCAGGTTTTTTAATACAGGATGATGACTATGGAAAGAGTATTCTTGTTTCCTTATATTATGGAAGCGGGAGTTTCCTTTTCAAAATTGTTACGAATTGTGGAAGACACAGTGTTCTCTGATATAATTGTGCATTTTTCAAAAAACCGCCAGAACTCATCTAGGTAAATTCCAGTTCCTAGGTATAATTAATATTATATTCAGAGTTGATGGTTGTACATGTAAGTGATGGCTGGTTTTAGTTGCAACTTTTTATAAAAGGGACTGAGAAATTTATAAACCTTTTTCTCACTGTCTTTTTTTTCTAAAGTAAAAACTAATAAATTATGTACCAGATCTATGCATATTATTTTATGTTACGTAGAATAAAAATTTTAATCTTTAATTTTACATCTCCTAATTATATATTTTAAGATGAAACATTTGTTTTACAGCTTTCCCCTCCACCTTTTTTTTTTTTTTTTTTGAGACAGAGTCTTGCCCTGTTGCCTAGGCCGGAGTGTAGTGGTCTGATCTGGGCTCACTGCAATCTCTGCCTCCTGGGTTCCAGCCATTCTCCTGCCTCAGCCTCCCAAGTAGCTGGGACTAGGCATGTACCACCACACCTGGCTAATTTTTGTATTTTTTAGTAGAGATGGGGTTTCACCATATTGGCCAGGCTAGTCTCAAATTCCTGACCTTGTGATCCGCCTACCTCGGCCTCCCAAAGTGCTGGGATTACAGGTGTGAGCCGCCATGCCTGGCACTTTTCCCTTTTTTCAAGTAAGGAAATATATTTTTTTCTGAATTATTTTCTCTCATGTGAGTATATTGATCCAGAAAGAAAACTTGCATTGTATATATTTTTAAATGAGAAATCTAAAAGAAGAAAAGTATCCAAAGTCTCTGGAATTTGAAACACTTTGCATAACGTATAAAAGCCTGTGTAAGAGACAGCCAACTATGGCCTGTGGACCAAATCCAGCCTGCTGCCTGCTTTCTATGGCTTGTCAGCTAGGAATTGTGTTTATAATTTTAAATGCTTTTTAAAAAGACTTTTATGATACATGAAAATTAACATGAATATTTAGTGTTCATAAATAAAGTTTATTGGAACACAACCCCCCCAAAAACACCCCCAAACACTCCAGTTCAGAACTCCTTGGGGAGATGGATTCGAGGGTCTCCTCCCATCTCCCAGCTTGTCTCCCAGCGATCCTGAAACTCTTTCTCTGCTGCAAACCCTGCTGCCTCAGCACGTTGGTCTGTGACTGCGTAACAGGCACACGAACCTGTGGACCCATGTGCAGCTGCTCCCTCCTGAGTGTGACCTCGGGTGAGCCCTGCGTCCTTGAGGAGCCTCCATTTCCTCATCTGTGAAATGGGGGTCACACCTCCTGCCCTGCAGAGTTGCTATGACAGTGATGACATGTGGAGCACCAGCATGGTCTGCCAGTGTGTGGGGCCAGGATGGAACTCTTCCTCATTGCTGCTCCCTTGGTGTTTGGGTTCCCGGTCCAGGGCACCTTTCTACTCCCCCAGCCAGGACCAAGCCCGCTCCTAAGTGTGTGCTTTCAAGTGGACAGGAGGCCCAGGGCAGGGAGGGCAGCCCATGCTTACTTTTTTTTTTTTTTGGTTGAGATGGAGTCTCGCACTGTCGCCCAGGCTGGAGTGCAGTGGCCGGATCTCAGCTCACTGCAAGCTCCGCCTCCCGGGTTTACGCCATTCTCCTGCCTCAGCCTCCCAAGTAGCTGGGACTACAGGTGCCCGCCACCTCACCTGGCTAGTTTTTTTTTTTTTGTATTTTTTAGTAGAGACGGGGGTTTCACCGTGTTAGCCAGGATGGTCTCGATCTCCTGACCTCATGATCCGCCCGTCTCGGCCTCCCAAAGTGCTGGGATTACAGGCTTGAGCCATCGCGCCCGGACAACTTTAAGCATTTCTGACCTCCGGAGACAAGGATACCAGGACCTCCACTGGAGGCCACCACGGCAAATTTTCCCGCTGTTGGGACACCCCACATAGCCCCCGGGATCTGGCTTTGGGAAGGAAGATGATGCCCGGATTGTGAAGGCCTTTGGATCTCATGCCCAGTGTCATGGGGTAAATTGTGTCTTCCCCCAATTCATATGCCAAAGTTCTCACCCCCGGGACCTCAGAGTATGGCTGTATTTGGAGACAGAATCTTTTTATTTTTATTTTATATTATTTTATTTATTGGAAACAGGGTCTCACCCTGTCACCCAGGCTGGAGTGCAATGGTACCCTCAGGATTCACTGCAGCCTCCACCTCCTGGGCTCAAGCAATCCTTCTCCCTCAGCCTCTGAAGTAGCTGGGACCACAGACATGCACCACTATACCTGGCTAATTTTTAAAAATTATTTTGTAGAGATGAGGTCTTACTATGGTACCCAGGCTGGTCTTGAACTCCTGGCCTCAAGCAATCCTCCTGCCTCAGTCTCCCAAAGTGCTGGGATTACAGGCATGAGCCACTGTGTCTAGACAGAGACAGGGTCTTTAAAGAGATAATGGAGGGAAAATGAGGTCACTAGGGTGGGCTCTGATCCAGTCTGACTGGAATCCTTCTAAGAAGAGGAGATTAGGACACAGATGCTCACAGAAAGACAATCACCTGAGGACATGGGGAGGACATGGGGAGAAGATGCTGTCTGGAAGCTGAGAAGGAGGCCTCAGGGGGAACCAACCCCACCCACACCTTGATCTTGGACTTCCAGCTTCCAGGATTGTGGGAAATAAACGTCTGTTGTTTCAGCTGCCTGGTCTGTGAGAGTTTGTTACGGCGGCCCAAGCAAACTGACCCACCGAGGAATTTCACTTTTGATCTTATGGGTGGTGGGGTCAGTAGGGGCTTTGAAGCCTTGGTCTGACACGGGGCTGGGCGCTCCTTGGCTGAAGGGCAGAGGGGG